ATCTATATCGGATTATTTAGTATCTTACTAGCTAGTTCTCTTTCTATATTCTTAATCTCTTTAAGCTATCTTTTCTTAAGTACTCTTCGCTTTAGTTCTATATAACGCGTCGCGAGTCTTATCGCGTTAAGATCTTAAGTTAGTTCTAGAGTTCCGCTTAATTAAGTAGTTTTACTACTCTTACGGTTAGATAGCGAGTAGTATACTTAACGCGTACTTACCGTAGGAGGTTCGATATATTTCTCGTCGCTAATAGTAGCGTAGAACGCGTCTTATAAGATAGATACGGTTAGTCCGCCTCCGCTACGATAGCGTATTATTAGTACTATTAGTGCTTTAATTGAGAGACTATATCTATCGTTAGGATCCTCAAAATAGTACGAGAAGAATTATTAGAGAGTCTTAGAGTGGGATCGTTAGACGAAGAGTTAGAGAGTTAAATACGTATCTATATTATATAAAGCTATCCTTGAGATATCGACTTCTCGCACTATTGAGGGCTTCTCCAGTAGTGCGAGAATAGAGGTCCTATTTATCTCTTTCCTGTGTATGCCTTATGGGGGCCGACTTGGCATTGGGGGCCAAGCGCCTGATGGGGGCCATTTGCCCCATGGGGTGTTGTCGGCCGGGAAGCGCATTGTAACAGTCATTGTAACAGCCCTGCTTCCCGGGTGACAGCTAACCAGCGCGTGAAAGAGGTAATGCGCCCGAATTGGGAAGCGATCTGATTTGTGCATGTGGCACCAGATGGATGGCAGGATTTTTCCCTGTGTAGAAGCTGGATCTTACCGACTACCTAGGCCAGCATGTAATAAACATGTTTATCTGATGGCAACACAGCCTATGATTGGAGGGAAGGCTGTCAAGGTTAACAGGATCATCTCAGACCACGCTGGCATTGTGCTCGGCGTCCTAAGAGACACGCGGATAACTTCCCAGGAGCAAGGTATTGGTATGAATATCAAGATCGAAAGGGATAATGCTCATGCAGTGTTTTAGATACATCTTTGGACGTAGCAAAAGGTCGGTAGCTCTCCATGAAATATTCAGAACTATCACAAACGAGACAGGCACCCCCGACCCGAAAGTAAGATAGCCTAGTTCAAGGTATCTCGATAGCGTGAATCATCGCCCGTGAGACGGCGCCTTATTAGAGATGTCTTCAGAATCCGCTGCTTTTGTCTTTGCTCTTGACGTCTGCTGCCAAGTCCGCCGCACCTGGTGTACCCTCTGTTCAATACCAGCATCAATTACAGCTCGTTCGGTGGTAGCAGAGAATAGGTTGCACTGGGTACATCGGTTGTACATTAGACGGATAACATCGGATTTCTCTCTTTCGGGCACGACGGTCCAGACGCTATTGAGGTCGGCCCATTTGGATTGGGGATGAGTCGCACAGTATTCGCGGTGGACATCTCGGGCAAAGCTCTTGAAGTTATCGAACTCTCGATTGGTCAGACCGAGCTTTATCTGTACTTGACTAGGAGAGTCTCGAAGTTTGATGTGCTTAGCCATTCCAAGTCGCGAACGAAGACGAACACACCTCGTAATGGAGGACCAGAATTCTTCTCAGCTCAATCGTGAATCAGTAATTGCAGAGGTATGTTGTTCAGCTTTTATATTCAAGAAAGTCTCAAGATCCGGGTTACAATGGCCTGAGATCAGCGTGGAATGCCTGAACAAGCCTGGACAACTACTGTCTGACGTTTTATAGATTGAGTATTTATTCGATTGGAGTGTCGAGACTCGCAATGACCTACCAGAGCTCTAAAAAGCTTTAGGACAATATCTTTTCGTACAGACCGTGACAGTAGGATGCCGGCTCAAGAAAGGGGACGATGTAGTGTATGGAAAAGCCCCTTGACATCGGAGATCCGAGATTAAGCCGTAAGTACCGAGTCTTTTTGGAGCTCTTGCCAAGCATCACGTGGTTCTTTCCCTAGACGAAAACACGACCCTCTGCCTGCGCCCCTCGTCGCAGATTACAATCCCAACTTTTTCAACTTGAGGGACTATGAGTATCGGCCTCTTGAACCCCAAGACATCCTACGGGCTATAGTATAGAGAATCTTAGGGTAAGCCTCTACTTTCGACAGATGACACCTTCACGAAACGATTAACACCTAAACCGGCAGAACATCAAGAGTCATTCCATAATTTTCGAATCAACATGAGCGGTGCGCAAATTGAGACGTACGGAGATATCCCAATAGAAGACCTAGCGACATGGGCAAAAAAAGCGAAAGGCGAGTAAAAAGGGGTGATTCCCCTAATCGACACTTTACCAAAGGCGGATATGGAGATAGACCTGCTAAAACAGGTACAAGACAGCCTGGGAAAGGTACATGAATCCATTCCATAGTCCAGGCTTGTCTAACATTCATTCAAACAGGTTGAACAGTGGGAGATCTTCAGGGTGACTGAAGAAAATACGCCGCTTACCGCTTTAATGTACGACACAACTTTGATTGCGCTCGAGGTAGACAAATATTGTCAAGTCTCCGGTTCATCGGTTCACAAAGGTCAGCAAATTGAAATCAGAAAAAATGAGGTCATTATTTTACAACCCTCCGGAGAATTTTTGTGCATCATTCACTACTAAACACCTACCGACCCGCGCCCTCCCTCGTTATCGGTCGGGTTTTGATTATGTAGAATATGATATGTTGATTGACAGAAGTTCTGGAGCTTTGTGCGATTCAAGATTGAAAGAGTGTTATGCATATGATATGCCTATAGGTGAAATTTGGTCTGAATGGTGATCTGGCAGTCTTTGGATAAAGATACCATTAGTGGGCATGTCAGATGTGTTCAAATCGAGGATGTCCGTGGTTGGTATGTTAAACATGCTAAGACCAGAAGAGCTGTTTGTAGACGTATTGATTGCACCCTGCTCGAAGGCTCTACCGTCCGAGTTGGCTAATATCCTCTCATCAAAGGTATCACCGGTGGTTGTTATAAACTGATTAAGATCGACAGGGTTAGTCGTTGGTGCCGGAAACAACTGATTGAGATCGACATCGTTGGTCGTTGGTACCGGAAATAACTGATTGAGATCGATAGGGTTAGTCGTTGGTGCCGTAAACAACTGATTGAGATCGATAGGGTTGATATCTTGCGATAAGGTGTGATCACTATCGTGGGTCTCAAAATTCGAAAATATGGTTCCGTAGTTGGCCAACATTGCTTCTGTGCGGGCGTTGCTGTCGACGATGTGGTCAAGATTGCAGGAACTAGTTCTGGCAAATGGAGCATGAGTTTCCAGTTCGGCCCGCGTCGCATCTTCGGAAAGAAGATTCGCCTTTAGTTTCATCACAAATCCATGTTCTGTCTCGAAATTCATATAAGAAGCGAGTTTGGAGACCGGCAGATCCGGTGGGATTTCATTTTGTGAGGACCAGTCGTAGGCATACTGAGCAGTACCCCCGGGTTCGCTTCTCACCTCTGTTGTTGGCCTCTTTCTCTTCTTGTTTGAAGAACTTTGCGGCATGGTACCGGTGGCAGGAAGGGTCGCATCCTCTACCGTGTTAAGTAACAGCGCTAGAGCTCCATTTCCAGTGTTCAAATCAGTGGGGAGGGCTGGTAGGGAAACTGGAACCTGTTGAACTTCAGGATGTGAGGACCAGTCGTAAGTGTGTTGGTGAGTAGCTGTCTCCGTTGTGGTACTAGTCTCCTTACTGCCATAGCTCCCGGGATTCGAAACGGAGATTATGGTGAGAGCCGATGTCATTGCATCGTGACTATTCTCGATGCTCCCATTTGTCTGCGCCGTATATGTCTCGGAGGAAACAGGACCGTGATATTCCGTGACGCTTTTACCGATTTCACCAGTGTTATCTAGGTTGATGTCTGATATGGTTCGTTGTTTTAGTTCATATTCGACCGATACTTTTTGGCGTTTGTGCGGATTAGTACCTGTTGTAACTGTGTCAGGCTTTTCATAAAGGATAATCTAGCTTTCAACTAGGATATTTTAGTACGGTCACTAATTGAGTAGTATTTGGGTCATCACCTTCGGAACGAGAGCTGATTTCAGTCACCACCTCGTGGTCGACTCGAGTTAACACCGCGCTCTGACCTTGTCCCTGGGTAGAGTCTTGAACAGGCGATTGGGGATCTGAACTCGGTGGAAGGCTTTAACCGGGTCCCTCAGCTGGAGTGTGCCTACCGGTTGAGGGTACTGACGATGATAGCGACGGTGGTAATGATGACGGCGACGCTATTCCTGCGTCTTCAAAAGATTGGGGGAGCGAGGTGGTATCTTGTCGTGCCATCCGAAGGTCGCCTGCCATGGCTTCTCTGATCTCCTGCTCATCCTCTGGCCTGATATTAACCTCAGTTTCCCAATGATCTCCGCTTGGAGTCGACACGTCAGAGTGAGAATGTCTAACTGGCGAATTCGACCTTATGGCCAAATCCATAGAGCTAGCCTGTGATTTCTCACGCCGTGATTGCTGGTGTGTCTCGCTTTCGTCTGTCGATGTTGTTCGGCTCGCGTTCCTGGGCTCCAGACTAGCAGAATGAGTTCCAGGTTTGTCGTTGCAGTTTGCGACGGGTTCCGGGGCATCGTTCGACGTTCGTTGCAACTTCGATCGTCGTGATTTCCTCTTTGGTGGGCTTCGTCCTTTTGGGCCAGTACCAACGAAATAGGTCGGAAGATGTATGAGCAGATTGTTCTCTATACGCCGCGCATAGATATCAGCCCCTACTCCTTGAACATGGTCTAGGAAACCACGATTGAGAATGTCTTTAGATGTGTCTGAGATAAGTGGACGGATGTGCCGATCACCAAGACTTCCTGAATCAGCCAGTGGTATCAGTAAAGGTAACATAGTACTTACACATTGTCAGTCAACGTAAAGGGAAGCAGAAGCACATGCCCCAGTCCTCCAAGAGCATCTGACCACATCGAGATTGTCTGTCCATATTCGACGTACAGGTCGAGATTGCATTCAACGGTTGTCGAGGATGTCTCATCCACCAATCTAGCTAAAGCAGCCCTGGCACCTCGATTCCACTTCTTTCCAGTGTGATAGCTTGCTTTAATTGAAGCCCGGAATATCGAAAAATATAAAACTCTCAATCCTAATGTTGATAAGACCTGTCCTTGTTTTTCACTCTTGATCCGCAAATAGGCGTCCCGGATAGAGAAATGCTGGGATGCGAAGAACGGCTCGAACTCACAGGAACCCGATGTCTCTGTCCAGCCATTGAAATAATCGCACACGGCTTGATCAGGACAGATTGATGGGACTACTAGCGTTTTGGACTTGCGATCGAAGTATGCCTCTCCCTTCCGCTTCCTAGGTTGTCCTTCTCGGCGCGATATATTACCCTGTAGTGCGAGTTGATGGTCAGGCTGCGTAGCAGGCTGGTTATTGAGCAGTTGCTCCGGGCGTCGCTCAGGCTCATTGTCAAGTTGACGACCTGGTTGATGGTGAGGCAGCGTCGTGGGCTGGTCACCGAGCAGTTACTCTTGCCGTCGCTCAGGCTGACTGTCGAGCCTCTGTACAACTGCCTCGAGTGTCCTGCAAAGTTCTCGAATGTGCCCCGTCTCAATCCGATTTGTTCGCACCACCTTTAAGATTGTATCAAGTAAACTGGGGTAATTCGAGGTTTGTAGGACCAACAAAGTACTGAGGGACCAGAAAACAGAATGTTTGAGAGTATCCACTGCTGAAAAGCTAGTTAACGGAGAGGAAATGAGACATTTGAACTCCAGCCAGACAAAGGTTTAGCGGATCGCCGCTCTGAATTCATTGCCATTATCACAACTGGTTAGTGCCGGTAGACGGGGAGAAAGACTGCCGTTTCTTTCCTTGCCTCTAGTTCCCGTTACTCGTCGAGTGCGCACACCGCACGGGCCCCTCCACCTTTTCATCCTGGTCGCTTGCCAGTAATTGTCTTCCGTTAAAGCATATCAACAGCATTAGTCCCTACCGTATGTCCCCTTTTGACGAAAATGCGGTGAATATATGAACCCTTATTGGCATCTCCTGGCATAGGAAGGCTTCACTCACCGGTTTTCCATTTCTGTGTATCAATAGCCTCCATCTCATTACAATCTTTAGGTGTTGTATGCGTCACTCCGTTCACGGATACGAGAGCGAATGAGAGACCGGATTCGATGGCACTTCCGGCAATGGACATTGGCATTGTCAAATTGGACATTGACCACGAAAATTTCGCAAAGAGGCTTGCGGTCTTCATCCTCAGCTTTGTCGACATATTGGATGCCTTCACGATAGAGTGGCATCGGGACGACCTCCTCTGGAACCTTCGGTCCAACCCTGATAACATCCCTGAGCTTCATTGGATAAGCCATTGTTCTGGTGGAAGCTACGAAGCGCTGCCGTCTAGGTCTATAGATCCAGAACGATTCATCTCCACCCTTATCCTAGAGGCTCGATTCGCAGCCCACAAAAATGGCATCACCAACGCGACTAGAATTTACGAGACTATATGTATCCTAGGATATTCGGTTTCTGAGCAGGAAGTTTACCTTTTGCAAGAGGGGCTTGTCAATACCCTAGGTCCGGAACAAGTTCCTACACTCCGTAGGGTCTCAATTATCGCTCAGATTCGTCAGAGAATCGACGCTATCGAGAAACTGGTCGGAACACCTCCTCTTGACCCGATATTTACCTCTTTACTTACTTTGAGTCACGATGATACATGGGCGGATGATATTCCAAGCAGAGATCTAGATATCCTTCAATCGAAAGCAAAGGAACAGTTGCCAAATGTCCGATCTCCCCATCTTGCAATTGCATTAATTATGGTAGTGCTTCTAACGCCACCATTCCGAACGACGCTTCAAAGTCCACACGTGGGTTTCCCTTTCGAAGTGGATAAGAGAGGACATTACTTTCATGAACTCAGTGCATTACAAATCCGGCATTAACTCGAGAATTTCGCCCAAAGTCTGACCCCCGCAGTGAAGGATATACCACCGCCGACTGAAATGGACAGATGGCATCTATATTGGAACGCTGAGTTACCTCGCCTATGTGACGCAACGGAGTAACTTCACAAAAGTTTTCGGAATTCTAGATACACGATTCGCTTATTTACAAAGTGCATAAGCAGACGTTAAGGCGGGGAAGAACATGTTAGCTTCAAGTGGTGGCAAATGGCTCTTGGTGATTTCCTGTCTCTATTGGTCTGCATGGCGAATGAGGCGGGTGGAAGATAATCAGCGGTTATCCGCAATAATAGGGCGCCGGTTGCCTCAGACTTGTCTCAGCCTGAGATAATAGGTTGAATGGTATCTAGCTTACCGCCTCACTTTCTCCGCAAAGATATATAAGTGCTCTATACCACTGAATCTTCTACATTTGGGTAGGGTTATTCAGGCAGGAAATATCAGCAAGCAATTATCATCATCTTGATACTTCACCAAGAATTTGGGCACTCATTATGAGCAAATCTAAGAGAGCTTTGGTTTCAAGTCGGGATTCTCTATCACCAGAAGATATACACGCCCCTTTTCAACAAGGAGAGAAGTCGAATGACCTTTCCAAATGGAAAGAGGCTTTTATCGAATCCCTGAATAGGGGTGACGGCCTGGGAACGGTCCGAACGCTTATCGATATGATCTGCAAGATTCCTGGCGAAATATGCAACGAGATTGGCGAGATAGCGTCTGTTCTGGTACGCAAAGAAATGAAACTCACCCATTTAATCCGCTCCTCGATACATGATCGGCATACGCGACGAGAAAAGCAGATTTGTGTCAATTTCTTCACTGAGTGCGACAACGACCTTGGCCGTGACGATACTATCGACATATACAAGAAATTCATCCCATGGGCGACTCCAGAGGATCTATTGGGGGTTGCTTGGAATAGGAGTGGCCTTGCTGCCATGAGGGAAATATTGACCGAGTCTCCCGAGCACCGCGAGCCTTTCCACGATTTCACCTCTGAGAACTTCTACCTATTATCCGAGCAATTGGCAATCGATTACCTGGACCCCAAGATCAAGGACAAAATTAGAGATAATAATATGCGGTTGTGGTACCGGTACCCCCTCCAAAAGCGTATTGCAGCGAGTCTCGCGGGTAAGGCGGAAACTTGGAGTGTGGTGGGTATTGACGATTCAGATTTGTCGAGCAGAATTGCAATTAGGGAAGACAGCCTTACGGCAAGCTTCTATAAACGACTCCAATCAGCTAGGAAGCCGGCGGAATTTGATGATGACGGTGACGATACTGCGACTCTAGTCGGTGCTCCGTACGCCGGAGCTTCTGTGTAGAGCACAAGATCTGAGCAGGGCTAGAGGGTTCAAGATGAGACTTTTGCAATGTCAGTGTCCAAAAGATTCAGAATTTGGTCCTCAAGTGTCGAAATAATTCCCCTGAACCACGGCACCGCAGCCGAGTACTCTTCGCGCCCACATCGTTCGGACTGCATAAAGAATTCCAACTTTGCCAGTTAGCCTATTTGGTATATAATCGCGCATCATTTCGCGCCCTGGTTGTATGAAGTGTCTCACTGGTTTCGTCGCCTTTTGCTCGCTCTTTTCTTCCAATCGAAAATACAGCCTAAACTAATCCAACAACTTCGACTATGCTCACTACTGCTCAGGCTTCAACTTTGAGCGGGCCGGTGTGCCTTTCCTGCGGAGGCCGCCACCGTAAATGTACCTGGCCGACAGCTGTTAACTTGTTTCGTCCATGCTGTGGAGCTTATCTAACCCAACCTCATAGGAATACTATGATGGTGAAATGGGAATGTGCACGACAATTTGAAAGGGATAGACAAAAGGGGATGAATGTCGAAGAATGGACGGCAGGTCTAGTCTTGTTGAAGGCATGTGGGATGGTTTTCAGGGTACTCCTCGATACGCCCTCTTTCAAAAACCATTCCGAAGTACACCGAGAGGTCGTACAGGTGCACCTCTGCCTGCAGGCATTCGACCGATTACCGGAGAGGCCGAGCGTTGCATTGCTCATGATCGAAAAGATACCACAGAAAACGAAGCAGCAACAGCCTAGTGGAGGTACTCCTAATACGATAGTCGTTGAGCTCTTTCATGACAAGTGGACATCACTCAAGGAGAATATTGAGGCCAGAGGAATCATCCTTGATGACAAGGGCCGTTTCGGGTGGCTGGCTCACCAGGAGCTCACCACTACGTTAACGCTGATGGAAATGCCGAGAACGGTGAAAAAACAGCCAGTGCTGTGTATCTCACGACTTGGTGCGTTCTCGTGATCTTGTGTGCGCTTGCAGATAACATGGGCGATGCGATGATTACTACTTCACTGAGGGCACGGTTGGGAAGATCAAATTCGCACTGGACGGAAAACAATAAGGCCATATCCTTCGACCATCGCTCTAACCTTTCCTTCACCCCGAGCGCTTGAGAACGCGAAAGGAGGAAAGTGATTCAATTGGAGCCTATCTTATGTTCAATCTTGTAGCTTCACTGCAAAACTCTGGCACAGTCTTCATCGTTAGGCTGCTTTGGTCAGGATGGTTATCTTCTCCTGCTTTAGGCTCAAGATGTATAAACTGTAGATGGGGAGTGGGAGACGGCGAAAATGTAGACCGCCTACTTGAGTAATATTGTGGCCTAAATTCACAATCGAGGGTGGTGGATATGGGTCTGGGTGTGGGCGGCGGCATCACGGTTCTTCTCCTGTCTCGTCCTTAACCTTCAACGAGTAGAACACATCGGCTGCCGCCCAACCGCTTTCCAATAGAAGGTGTAGGGTGACTTCCAGCGAACGGATCGATGGAAGAGTCAGCGTATAAAGCGGGTTCGTAGGCACTTCTCGTCACAGATGTATCGCCTACAAAAAGCTCGCAACCTCGACACAGTAGTCTAATCGAATGAGTGGCCATCGAGGAGTTTTGTACTCAGATTCGAAACTTTTCTTTCTCCATATCTATCCATTCTCCAAAAAGACTTGCTTGAGCAGATGGATAACTGGCTTAACTTCTCAATCTCTTACGAACTTGACAACCCAAAACTCCCAACGGGCAAGATAAACCAAAATGGAGGTTTTTTACAAAAGCACTGTTTGGAAGATTTGGAGCTTCCCGAGGACGACAAAAGAATCATAAGGGAAGGTGGAAGGCTAGACAGGCTGCTCTTCCTTGTCCAAATGGTCCCTGAATTTGAGCAATACTACCAAGGGGAACGGGTTACCTAGTTGGTGCAAACGCTTCTCTCCTGCTGGATCAACACAGTACCTAAGCAAGGCGACTTCCTAAAGTGGATTTGGCAAATCAAACCTACTTTTCACAGGGGACTTGTGACTATTACGGCGCACGAACATCGCGTGACTGGGGCCGGTATTAAGGTGCACGAATATCGCGTGACAAGGGGCGGAAAGCCTATTCGTGGCACCCTGGGAACATAGGCTACAGCAAGTCCGAATGGAGGGCAGGGCTATTGCAAATTTTACGAAAGACCAGACGACGTCTTTTTATTCAATTGGGATGAATTGGTAACATATGGGGAAGAGTTAGTGCGTTTGCATTTTTGAGAAACTGGGCCGACCTATTCACTGATTGGGAGAGCATGACTTGATAGGTCAATACAAACGGAAGATATCAATTGGTCGAAGACCAAAAGGGCCTAAAGTCCAAGTGAATTAACCCTCTTCTTTTGGGTAAATACAGAACCATATGCCTATCATTCAAAGGGCCAAGGGTTAAGATGTCATCAAATTTGGACCTCCTCGACAGCCAGTATTTTACTGGGCCCTGTAGGTCGGGGGCGTTTCCGACATCTAATCGTTTTCTCTCTGAGTATATCGTCGGGACGGCGATGAGCTATTATCGGCATGTACGTACGTAATTTATCTTCCCTCGAACTTGATCTGAGCGATTACTCCTAACTACGTAAATTCATGAATTAATAGTATACTTAAGAAATCCTAAATACCGACAAAACGGATGAATTAAACACTACCTTCTCGGCCTCCAGTTTCCCATTTTCGCTTCGGGTTTTGACGGGTCGATGACTTTTGGCCCCGTCGGGGTATCCTGCCCCTATGAGGTGCGCTAGTCGGAAGGTAAACTATATCATCCCTATAGAAGCCCATGGTCGTCGGACACTCAGATTTGAATTTCCTTCGCCCTTTATCAAGGACGCTGCACCGGCACTAGTGGAAATATAAATCTAACCACGATCCAAATGTTTGGCGAATACATACTAACAGTCCTATGGTAAACAAGGAACCATAAGTGACATTCACAGGCATACAGACTGTTAAGGTAAAGCTGACAATTCTGTTCTCGAGGGTATCAGCTATCATGGGCCTCTCCATCTCAGACATCCCCAGCCCGATCAACGGGTGCGGCCAGCTCATAACCTCAGTGTCAAACGACGGCAGAACAATACATGTTCTTGCGGGGCACGAAGAAAGCGACAATTTTGCCGACATGACTTTCCTAACAGGCGCAGCTTGCGAGTTCATGCCTAGTCCACTCGTCGGTGAAGATGATCAATATCGATGCAACCTCCATCACATCTTCGGCTTGTCTCTCACATTTCACATACGTCTAGACTACGCCCGCCAAATGGAGCCACCAGACCTAGGGGAGAAAGAGACTACAATATCTACTTTCCTAAATAAAGACACCCTTCGAGAAATCGAAGTCATCGCCGACTGTACAAGTCGTCTCAGCGGACAGGTACCCGAATACGACTGTGACTGTGCACAATGTCAATCGAGTTTCATCACGAAATCGGGAATAAGAGTGGGCGACAACCTCCCAGTGCAACGTAACGTTATAATAGATGACATACATGCAACTGTTTTCGATATTCATCGCTCTCCGAGAAGTTTACGAGTGCAATACAGTCCATCCTTCACCCACAGTCTGATCGACATTGATCTGGCAAATACTTTGGGTCATCGGTTGCACCGTAATGAGCATCATCACGACGGAAAACCGATTAATGTCATCATGACTCTTGCGAAGCCGGGTTATTTTGCTCTCTCTCATGTCATACAATGCTTACCATGCACATTTCAAGTTTCAGGTAAAGGCATTATTGTCCTCAGTGACGATGACGTGAGGAGACTTCACAGCCAGTCGGAATACTGGGATCGTTGCGGTCAGGTGTCGAGACGCGTTGGGAAGGAAGCTGAGCGTATCCTAGAAGGGTCACATCTTCGAGAGGCAGGTCTATCTCGAGTTATATTTCACGCCACAGACGGCACAAAATACCCTACTTGGGTCATATGTGGAACTAACCTACCGTGCAGCGAAATCAGCCAGGCGTTACTGCGGTTAATGGAGCCGAAAGGACAAGCTAGTGAACTCATAAGTCTACAAGTTGAGGATGAGTTCGGCAGGATTGAAGATATCGGGTTTCGCCCTGTGGACGACCTGCATTATGTATACTTCGACAGTGGTCTTCGTACCGGGGATGTTTTCAGAGTGAGCATTACTGTCCGTGATTGGCAGCACCGAAGCCTTTCAAAAGAGGAGGGCATTCTTCCGCGCGACTACGGAGTCTACGACAACGTCATCCTTGCATTCCACAACGGTACAGGAGCGAAACTGTGCCTACGTCTCTCCGAGCAAGAAGAAAATTTCGTGAGTGAGCGTATCGTAAGAAAACTTTCCATTACGGAAACAACGGACCTATTTGGCATTCTTGATTTTAACAAGATGTTAAGAATACCCGAAGGCACAAAAGAGCCAGATCTGACATACGGCAGGGAAGCTGCACAGGATATATTTAAGAGGCCATTTCGACAACAGCCCCCAGTCGGAGATAGTTAATTAAGTCTTGGATGGTATATGCGCCTTATGTCTCGGCGAGTTGAATGATCAAGTTACTTTAATGCAGCTGCCGTGTTGGAGGCAACACATACACGCTGAACGTCGCGATTATGTGCTTAAGGGACACGAGAAGTGCATGTATTGCAGGGAGGATTTACTAGTGCCATCCCGCGGAGCAAGTGATATAGAGGAATAAACAGCTCGTTATGGATCAGGTTTGGTGGAGAGTAGGAATATCACTCGCGTAGCTCGGTTACAATTGGGTTCCTAATATTATGGCTCCTGGCCTAAATTAGTTAGGACGTAAACCAAAGGACGACGATTTAGACCAACTTGGCCTGCTCAGGAAGATGAGGCATTATCCGATAACGATAGGTCATCTATCCGGGGGCCGTCTATCTTTAGCGAGAACTCATTTAATGACGACGAAAGTCCTGGCGGTAAGGTGGTCTTCGAGGACGAAGGTGGTCATCGGAACCCATCCGGGCGCCCATTCAGCTTCGTCGCGAATATCTACCGTTGCATGACACTAAACTTTACGCACCAAGACGACTAACGTACGTCTCGGCGCCTTACACTAGCAGAAGATGTTCTCCAGTAGAGAGGAACTGCCCATGTGAGCTGGGTGTTTTTGCTTTCACCGCCCTACAGTACCCTTAAGCGCCCTCCATCAGGCACAGCACGAATGGATATAAAAGCCTAACCATGGCCCAAGTCGAAAGACGGATTCCAACTCTCCGGTTTCCGTGTCATACTTTCAATATGTCCTATACATCAAGTCCGGGACTCTCTTCCGCAGGCCCCAACGGTTCCTCCCAGACTTCTGACTAACAGATTCTTCCTCCCGAAGAATAGGTGGACGGGACAGTCGTCGCCACTTACTTAGGGTTGGTCGAATTCCACGTTGAAAATATATTGAAAATCCGTCTCACAGATGAACAATTACGAACAACCCTTTGGCAACACCTCGTCTCCGACTTTCCCATCGCCGACCGTCCTTCTGCCGACCTCCCCACCATCGCTTCTGAGGGACTAAGTCTCTCAGAAACTTGGAGTACAGATATTCCACTCTTATTTTTGGTATCTTTTTTGCACGATACACCACTTCACAGAGAGTATCCGGGCTTACAACACTTGATCAAAAAGCTTCACCAGCAAGAGCTACGACGTCTTATTACGAGAAATAAAAACACTCAGGATAGAGACATCTCGGCCACTATAGCTTGCCTAAGCTTGCTCTTCCATCTCGACTTCGATACACCCCTGGAAATCTATATGCTTACGACGGCGAATATCTGCCTTGTCGGGGATATCCCGGTGATGATGACCGGACTCTCACCTGGCAAGATCTTCAATGCCAAAATGTGCATCGATGGAGATAAGGAACAGATCTTAAGATATTTCTACTGGTTCAGGCGTTACGATTTCACTTATGGGTATTACAATGACATTAGAACTTTCGAAAAACTACGTGAGGAAGGTGTCTACTTACGGGTTAAAAAGGAGGGCGCGAAATGCGGTTCGATGCTAGAACTACCACCGGAGCTCATTGTCGTGCCGTGGAATGATGAGTGGGAGAACGATTACGAGGGGTGGTTTTGCACAGATGGAGTTTCGACCGGGATGAGATCGACAGAACGGGTAAAAAGCGACTGGGTAGGTTCTCAAGACAGGTTCTTACCGAGACTATTGACCCGCCAGTCCTTCCTGTCGAACAATGGAAACCCGGTACACTCGTTGCGACTTACCTAGGAAAGGTGGAATTCCTCTTTGTAACTATATTGAGGTTTCGTGTTCATGATGAAGGATTACGAACCCTTATTCAGCGGCACCTGCTCGCCCCTATTGGCCACCTTCCCACCGCCATCTTTGAGGAAAGAAGCCTCTCAGAGCCTCTGAAGAAACACATACCAATCGCATATCTGGTATCTCTTTTACAAGAAAGAACATTTGTCGACGAGTATCCGGGCTTGTCAAAGTTGGTCGGCAAACTTTGGCACTTAGAGCTACGACGTCTCACTGAGATGATGAAAACCACTGAGTTTCCACGGGTCTTTGCCAATTCAGATGACTTGACAAGGAAAATCACAGAGTTTCGACGGGTCCAGGTCTATTCATATTACTTGACGATGTTCTACCTTCTCAGTGTTAATGCACCCTACAAATCCGCAGGCATATGATAACGAAAGACAAGGTCGTGTCCGAAAACAAACAACTGATCCTACCCGCACCCGGCAAGATCGACAAGGCCAAAGTGTGCGTGACTAATAAAGGACAAGTCCTAAGAGTGTTTTTCAAGTACAGGATCAACGGAAACACTCAAGGGATGTACCACGATACAAGAACTTTCCAAGGACTAAATAAGTTTGATGTCTATTTGGAGCCCAAAAATAAGGGCGTGAAATGCGGTGTGAGAGTCGAGGCAACGCCAGAGTTTATCATCTTGCCATGGAATTATACATGGGACGAAGAATGGGATGGGTGGTATAGCGAAGATGGCCTGGGGGACGATATTCACAAGACGGGAGTACAGTGACCGTTTCATCCGATGCCCGCACAAGGGTCCTAGCTGGAATTTGAGTCGGTCCTCTCAATTTGAATTATCCCTTCCTGCTGGATTCCTTTGCACCCTTTCAGCATTCGTCCTCATTCATCCTTATCGGCGACGTAGAACGCATTTACCCCTGCGTCACTGGGTAAGGGGCTGTGCGGAAGCCTCGAATTAGGCTTTTGAAAATGATCAAAGGTGCAATGTTTCTCAAACCTCTCTCGTTATGTATCCAGTGTCTCGTTTCTGACGGCGTTGAGTGAGCGGTGAAATGTGATCTTGTCGTCCCTGAACAGTAAGTAATAGTGACGGCGGAGGCCCCTTGTGGTCCCTGTTTGAGTATATTTCCTCAAATACCCTGCTAATATGCCCATTATAACTCCATGCCGTAGCTCTGTAAACAATGCCACCAACGAGACCTCGCCTCGTCTCCCTCTTCAAATTAGGTTTCGTTCCCCAATTTGCCGGCGCTTCTGACCATCGCGAGAGCACGCCATCGAGAACAGAAACATGACGACAACTCCTGAGCAGACTGAGAATGGAGTGGCTCCTGTACAGTCCGTGAGAAGAAGACGAGAGCATCGGTGCTGCCCCTAGTTTGGGGAAAAATCCAAGTCCATAATGATGTATACAAGATCGAATCAGGGGACCCGTCGCACCCAAGCGTCCCCGATCTCCTCCAACTTGTGATGAAGCCAAAATGGTATGAGCAGTTGAGCGGCTCCCGGGGGGCCAGACTATACAGGGGGGGAGGGGTAACCCATAGGTTACCCCCCCTGGTTTAAAACGTACAAGAATCGCCTAGTTTTTGGTTACGTCATCTGCTCGTCTGTTACTCGTCACAAATAAAGGGCGGTGAGTATATGAACGCCCAGTCGTGCGCCCGACTACAACGTCGCCCCATTCTTTCACTCACCGGTTTGCAAAGTTGGTGATCGCTTACCGTTAACGTCGTGTAAAATACCTTGTAGTGGTCCTGAGAGCTATACCGCCTGCTACCCTTATGTCTATAAATGGCCAATGCGGGAGACTAGATTCGTACACTATATCTTTTACTCCAGCGAACGTGTAGTTCTCTTCTTTCTCAACAATAGTAGACCTCAGCTTAGACGCACTGCCTCTCTCCTGACCTAGAGGGCGTTGTCTGAATATGGGTGCCGGCCTTCCCTCACCTTCTTAGTCTCGTTCGATTTAACTGTCGATTGGAGAGTACTTTTTATGGTTTACTTAGCCCCTTCTCCGCCAACCACAACTCGCAAAGGAACAAAGGTTGAGGGACACGAGAAGTGCATGTATTGCAGGGAAGATTTACTAGTGCTTTCCCGCGGAGCAAGTGATACAGAGGAATATGGACAATAGCTCGTTGTGAATTGGGTTTGGCGGAGAGTATCAAATAGAAAAGCTAGGAGCAACTTCCTATTCATCCTTAGATCGAAACCATTTCCTGGCACAGTTATTCGGACGAAGTCCGCTGCCGCCTATGTGGAGGCAGACCAGAGCAGGGCTTGTTATCACCCAGACTTAATCTTGTAGTGTAAACGTCACAGTTAGTCTACTGCCTGAATAGAACAAATGAAAAATCTCACTAGCGTTGGCCTTACACATTTGAACAAAATAGCACCGCCAGCTGCGCTCCTTTTTACTTATATCTCTATCCCATATAACCTTGATACCCCTCTCGACCGTCAATTTTCATCTTCCGACTTTCGAGGCCATGGCCACCATGTCAACAGACGAAGGATGGGACATTATCCAAGGTATCTAACGTCGTTCTTCATGTATGCTCCAGCTAACGTCAGTACGGAAGAGGTTGATCACGAAAAGACGAAAATTATTGACACCGGCCCCTCTGCTCCTGCATAGGGTTAACCACTCCTACGATACCGAGGCGAAGTACGCTCTGATGTAGACCTGAGGCTCCTAGTTTTGCCGCCCTGAACAAACCTTACTCCGACCAGAATGCCGCGAGTATCCCCCAATCTTTGGTGGCGATACGGAGCAAAGATTTTTTTGAAGTCTAGTCTGAGTGGCCAGAGCACATTTCCGCAAAATTCTTTCTCCTTGGGCAGAATGGTTTTGTGAAAGAGTGGCAGCCTAGGGAGTGGTGCGACTCAGATACGGACAAGATGGTATCGACGGCCAAATTTATCAAGGGGAAAGAATTCTTCATATTGGAATTTAAACATCGCCGCTCTCCCGAAACAAGGCCCAGTCAGGATCCCGAAATCCTAAGCCTGCTCAAGGTGAGCGCCTGTGTCTCTCTCTTTGCTTGACAAGAGCTGATACTTCGAAAGCATCCCGAGCTCGCAGCCCTCCTTGATACCTACTCAAGATTTCAGGCCCACATACAGACATTGGCATCATTGGTGACTATCAATGATCCAGGCACTCTGGAAAGCCTTACGAGCCGTCTAGGCCAAAGTCTCGAAGACGTGCAGCCCCAAATCAATAGACTAGTCGCGGTACCGGTTTACAGTCACGCAAGCGACAAACATTGGCACAATCTGGCCGGGCTCATCGGGTTTCTTAAACTAATGTATATATCCCAGACTGAATTAGAGGGTTCAATTGATTTTCATATCGCCAAAGCATGTGGGAAACTTGCAGATTGGGAAAGTAGTATTCTATTTCTTCTTGAACAAAAGCTCTGAAATCCCAGTATATAGCAATGGCCTCCATCTTAATGGTGGGTAATTATTAAATCTCCATTCTGATGGATACCGGGCTTGAATTGCACTGCCTAATAAAGTCTTGTCAACAGTTCTGTCGTGTGTACAACTCAAGTACATCTCTTATGACTCCGTCGAGCGCATCTCACCTTTCCCTTCCCCTCTCCCTTCGCTCATTGACTCACAAGTAAGTAGTCTACACATTGAACAGGGCGGCAGTCTACACAGGTAATTCACTTTATTTAGTAGTGATGAGCAAGGAGGAGGGCTTGTGAGGCGACTAGACTCTCCCTGCCTATTGACTGGGAGCAGAGCTTTTCTGTTCAATATACTACTTAAGGTAGAGGATAGGCCCCACACTTTACCCATTAGTGCCTCGTTTTCCTCCACTTCAGATGTACAAGAAGTACCTGATTCACACAGAAGATTGTCTTATACTCAGCATTACCACTTTACCGCCATGAAGAGCCGCGGGACGACCACGGCCGACGATAGGAACACCAACCTGTCACAAACGCAGCCGAAGAGCACGTGACTCGTAGGGGAGAACCATCCCTATGCGCCACTGTAGCTCAAGTGGAAGAGCGGAGTAAAGGGACCGCTGGGACGGCCCTAAGCCAATTAGGCTTACCAGGCCTATAGGAGAAAAGGTACGCTTCCCACACACGGAAAGCTTCCTTCTCTCAAGCTTTGAGTCTTGTTGATACGATACGTAAAGGATACTTACTACCACGGATTCTATCTATCGCTGAGTACTGCCTATCTTCAATAAGGCATCCTTAACAAACCAGAGAAATGATCAACCCTCCGAGAGCTCCGAACAACGACCTAGGGTATCTATCAAACGACTTCACTCTCTTATTCTTCACTTTTGGCTTACAAAATGGGCATATCTCCAACAGTTCCTTGTCTTAGTTCCTTACATTTGGCCTTCGAAAGACTGGAAGGCACAAGTGAGCATACTGGTGATGGTTCTCGCTTTCTTCAAGGACCGCGCCTTACACGTGTTCATACCTCGCCAAGTAGGCATCATTATGGACAGTATCCAGTCAGGCTTTGTGGATATATGGACAATTAGGGCTACAGTTCATCTTTGGATCTCTCTTGAGATGGCGTCTGGATTTACGATTCCAGAGAGGGTGGCCATGACCCGCGTCTCGCATGTCGCGATCAAGAATATAGCTCGATCTTTTCAGGCCCACATTTTGAACCTTTCGATGGACTTCTTCCGCGCCGAACGATCCACCGACCTTCTTGCAGCTGTCGAAGATGGTGAGGCCGTCAGTGAGTTGATTGAGCAAGTGATTTTGGACGTCGTTCCCACGCTGGCTGATGTTCTTATTGCCATGATATATTTATATTATACCATCAACGGTTATGTCGCACTGGCGATTCTACTACCATCTGCTACCTATTGCTTGGTGGCTTACTATGGGGAGACCTGGGTGTCTGAAACATCCAGAGATTTTTTCCAGAAGCGTCGCTAAGTCAAATATGAGTTGTAAGATTCGATCCAGAATTGGCCGGCAATCTTTTGTTTTCGCCGACAGGATTACGAATCTCATAGGTTCTCGAAAACACTGGACAAGTATTTAACGACACGGACAATGTATACGAAGTACTATCTACTCTCGAATGCTCGGAAATTGCTGCCGAATGTCGCGCTGCTCGGAGCGGCTTATGCCACTATCTTGGACATCAGGAAGGGGGCGGCACCTTCTAATTTCGCCGTTGTCATTACTTATTGGGCTACAATATCGAAAAATATTACCGGACTTTCCAAGAGCTTCCGAGCATTCGGAAACACCCTTATCTCCGCTGAGAAGCTAGTTACGATCTTCCAAACCAAATGTCACCCGGGCTTCCCGGCCGACAACACCCCATGGGGCGAGTGGCCCCCACGCGAATGGCCCCCATGGGGCCAACGGCCCCCAATGCCAAGGCGGCCCCCACAAGGTATACACAGAAAGAGATAAATAGGACCTCTATTCTCGCACTACGGGGGAGGCCCTCAACAGTGCGAGAAGCCGATGTCTCAAGGACAGCTTTATACAATCAAGAATCAAGATACGTGTTCAACCCTCTGACTCTTCGTCTAACGATCCCACCCCAAAGCTCTCTGACACCAAACCTACTATCGTTGGCGGAAAGAAGCCGTTACAGATACAGGCTGGGCGTATTTCATTTGATGACGTTTCATTCATATATGAAGACCAACCTACTGGAGTCCAGAACATTAGCTTCGAAGTTCCAGGCAGATCGACTGTGGCACTAGTAGCCGAAAGTGGTGGCGGCAAATCTACCCTTCCAAACCTTTTACTTCGCCTCGATGACGTGTGCAAGAATGCCATTAAGGTTGATGGTCAAGATATTCGGGATATCACGCTTTCTAGCTTGGTGGACGCAGTCGGAATCGTACATCAAGATCCTTTTATTTTCGACCGATCCATTATGGAAAACATTAAATTCGGAAGACCTGATGCTACGGATGATGAAGTGATGGAAGTGTGCAAGATGGTAGGACTACATGATTCCATTATGGATTTTGAAAAGAAATACGAGACAAAAGCTGGCGAAAGGGGCAAGCAAATGTCTGGCGGACAGAAACAGCGGATCGGAATCGCTCGAGTCCTTCTGGGAAGACCGCAGGTGATTATATTGGACGAACCTACGTCGGTAGTCGACCTTATGACCGAAGGTAAAATCATGGAGGCGTTCAACGGTTTGGGTCATCATCATACCAAGCTTATTATTGCGCATCGGCTTTCAACGATTAAGGATGCCGATCTCATTCTGGTATTAGAGAAAGGCTGTATCAAGGAGAGGGGTAATCGCTCAGAATTGATGACTCAACAAGGAATATATCATGAGCTTTGGACCTCACAATCTAAATAGGCGCCCCCATGCTCGATAGCGATCAAGATAACTTGGAAATGAAGTTTTTGGTCTCGAATAGGTTGCTACACATAGGGCATTCTGTCCAAGAATGTTCCTTAATTAGGTACTCTGAGAGGTTACTTGCCGTTTTACATTTTTGATAAGGACCTTTTAAGTGGGTACGACTACAATGCTTCAGTAGCGTGCCCTTCATCAAAGGTTCCTGGCAAATTGGACACCTATGTTGCTCCGAAAGATGGATATCCATCTAATCAATATGGATATAATCTGAACAGGAGCCACAGCGGTTGTGATTGTGTTCTTTAGCATCATAAGTAGCCAGATCTTCTTGTGGTATATTGCGACAGCAGATTTGACAAAGTTCTAACCTATGCTCTGTAACGTGTTCGGCGAAGTCGACCCAACGTAAGACCATACGGTAGATATGGCACTGCATGAAGCTAGAATCGACGTTGTCGGGCAATGTATAGTCTGGAAAAGCTGTTCTGGGGAAATGCCTGAATGATTTGAGAGACGATTCGCAGTCGTCCAATGACGCTTTTTTCGATTTCGTGAGATGATCCATCGTCGGCCAGTCATGGAGATTCTCAGGGTTTCGCCTGTCGGGATGCGAGCGCAAACAAGCATTTTTGTATGCTTTTTCGATAGCCTTCTGGTCGTAGATACATGGTTCAACGCCCAAGAGCATCAAAAGGGCTGAAGAATATTGGAGTTGAGAAGGATTGACGAGTGCAAGTGACGAGTGGAGGTGAGGTGACGAGTGGAAGAAACTGGGGATATAACTAATTTCCGAGGTCTCGGGACCATCGGACCTTGGCAGCCGTAGCGCCTAAGCCTATTACAGGGCCTAGTTCACAAGGGCCTTGTTGCTCAAGAGTCGGTGATGGGTCGACTTAAGTGTAAAGCTAACAGTGAAGCCACCACGAAACTGTGGGGTCGTCACCCTGTAACGTGGCCTACTGTTAAGTGGATGGCTTTGGACGGCTACGAACTCACTGGCATTATTAATAGTCTGGGTGGTCTCCTAGAAAGTTCTGCGGCGCCTGCTTCCAGGATACGGCGGGAAGGTGTGGTTTGACGACAATGTTGCTAGAACATATGGATATAGGCTGCAGAGCTATAGGAATAATACACACTATGTTATCACGCTGTGTTGGACTCTATCAGAGCTTCACATAATCCACCATGGTTAATCTCAGTAGATGCCGGCAAACTTGCCATTTTATCGAATCTTCGCTCGCCGATACTGAGAGGAATAGGCTTAGCGTGCATGGGCCACAATTACGGAGGAATGTTATTGTGGCCCGTGCGCGTAGAGCACGAACCGTAAAAATCTTTTCAATCACTCTTAGTTCTCAGTTCCGCGAAAAGTTTCTAAGGACTATGCGCCAATAATGTCATCTCTTTTAATTGTTCACGAATGCATAGTAGTGTTTGAAGAAGTCGAGGCTATAGTCACAACGCGCGAGCTAGGCTGGGAGGAAGAGCTCCTATCCAGGATACGTGGGTAGCACACAAAATTGCAACGTATCCAAGAAGAGATCGCGGGATTGAATTCTGGTCGACAAGATACAAACATCCCAGAAAGTTCTCGAAATGATGGCATAACTTTGCCATGCGCCGGCACGAAAGAAGACCGCCAGCCCAAAGGAAATAGTCCTCAGGGAAATGATGGCAGTTTACCTACGCCGCGTGCGACTGAGCCGATATGGAGCAGGGCCTCACTCACCCAACGACGACATCTGCCGCGGACTCCAACAGTGCGATACCTACTCAAACCCATAACGACTCCACCACACAATGTACTTCAGGGCCAGTCTCACCGTATGAAGTGGCATCTTGTAAAGGTCCTAAGTTGAGCTTAACAGTCAAAGAAATGGGAGAAAACCTTGTCTCAAATATTCATAAGTTTATGGTCGACCCTACTTACATCAGTATGGTTCCGGTCGAGGACTTCGAAAAAGTCGACTGGAGCGAACTGGCAGTATCGATCAATCCACCACCATAAGACCATGACCTTCTTGGAGTGAGATACTCTAAAAGCCAAGCCACGGGAGTCGTACGGTTGAGGAACTCTAGCTCGGGGACGTTCTAATTTCCAGACATGTCCCAGGCCATAGAAAAGCCTTCGCACGAGGCCTGCTTGGACTACTTTGATCGACTGATCGATAACCCTCCAAAGGATGCGATCCCTTATTATATCGGAACCCCCCTTTATGATGAGCGATTTACGTCCAAATTTGATTCTCGGCTACATCCGGGCCAGGAGCTCTTCAAGATTGGACTCGTTGATGGCTTGAATACTCCATGGCTACACGCCGGCCTAATGGGCTCCGGAACTCCATTCCATAGAGAGGATGCAGATCTATGCTCGTTCAATTGGGTCCTCGGTGGTTGGAAACTCTGGATTCTGATCCGAGTGAGTTCCACTCAAAAGGTTGAAGAATATATCAGGAAAAACTGGCCGTGCAATGACTGTGATCAATTTGTCCGCCACAATTCGTTGCTCATCAGCCGGAAGACCCTGACGGAGAACGGCATTGAGTTTGATGTATTGATTGCTGGACCTGGGGATCTAGTGTTTAAAGACATGCGACAGTACCATGCGGTCGTGAACATCACTAATTGCGTGGCTATGGCAATCAATTTCATCCCTCTAGGTAAACCATTCCTAACAAAAGATCTGCTTGTGTGCCCAGGTTGCGGGCTATATCACCTCAAACACGAGAATATCCGGCAGGTTCGCTATCATCCAGCAAAACAGCAGTCGGATATCGTAGCCGAAAGCGTGAGCAACATGAGAGCGAAGAGGAAGCTACGGACCACTATCGTGGACCCCAGAGTAGCGAAAAAACACAAGGAGGACCGACCTTTACCAGTCGCTAAAGACCTATCAGACCTGGAGCAAACTAAAAATTAATCAAGAGGAGTTGACAGACTCTATAACTTTCCTCAAGTAAAGGGAAACGTATCGACTCCAACGGTTCTCAGGCTGGTGGCGGCAATTCGGAGCCGGAGGGCGATCGTCCAGTTCCGCGACCTTGTTACCAGTATGAGGGACCTAAGATTCAATACAGCTCGCTTAGACGCCAGCGGGGATACATCACAGCGCATCCAGCAACTGTGCACGAACATTACCATATCTCAGCGCAAGTCGAAGCTCGAGCTTTTCTTACTTCGACTCAATCAGTACCATTTCGCGGTGGAGCTGGAAAACCGAAGGAACGGTCGCATAAGGTCCGACCCATCGGACAAAAAAGACATTCTGGAACGCACTGGATGGACTTCACGACAATATGACGAGCATCGCAAAAAGGGTAATAAGTGGAAAAGTATTTGCGACGGCTTCGAAGGCCTTTTATGCTTTCTCCTCCTGTCTGCAGAGCCAGAATTCGACATCTCGACGGAGCAATACTTGAACATGACAAAGCGCGACCTAGAGGAATTTCGTGGCCATCTCAACAACGAATACATAAAATCTATTTGCGCCTCTGGAAAGGCTTTTCAAAGGTCTCTAAATAGCACGGAGATGGATACTGAGTTCCTTTAGGAAGACGAACGCGTTAATATGGAGACAGTCTCAGAAGAGAAACTGCTCGAGTACCTAAAACCCTTCCCGACGCACCCGACGGAAAATGTGTACGACCCGACTAAATATCCCAACTGGCCTGAGCCGGCTGAATGGCCGTGGGAGTGGCCCGCCGACCCAACATCGTTACCGCAATCCTAACAGTCACGGTGCGACATTTGTAACGAACCACCCTGCAACTGCGCCGAACCTGCTCAACGGGCCATGCCTCGAATCAAAAACTACGGAGTCAAAGGTCGAGGCCTCCAAGCAGTTGCAAATGAATTAGGACAACATGCGTATAGCGCCGGTGAGGTTATTGGGGTATTTACCGCAGAGCTCGTTCCATTGGACACACACAGCGATGGGTGGGCCTTGGAGCTGGTCAGGGTAGATATTCCCTGGCCAGAGCACCGTCAGGGGAAGCCTCGCGTTTGTCAAGTCTACGCCAAAAACATTGGCAATCCCTACCGGCTACTTCACCACGCCTGCGGGTCTTCCGCAAATGCAAAATATGTGACAATGGTAGTCTCCGGAAAGTGGAGAATCATGGTTATCGCCACACAAGGCATTTTAGACGAAGCAGAAATCACTGTCAATTGTGGGAAGGGCTTTCTGGGAAGGAGTCAATGCCTATGTCAGGGTTGTTCTTCTTAGATAAAGAGGAGGGTCGCGTAGCCACAGAACTTTTCAATGCTGGCCAACAACCTGATAGATCATGTAAGGAGCTCCATACTTGAGATGTAGTGCCTAGTGTTCGTAGTTGCCCTATCGTGGCTTGTATATAATGATATAAAGGTCTGGCGAAGCTATTCTTGGGAGTAGAAGATGCGGAAGTAGGTAGGGAAGGTAAGAGTTCTTGTAATACCCCAAATGAATGGACGATACCCTAGACACTTACGATAGGAAATGTGATTTCAGAGACTACAGATACTAATTGACATGTATATTATTGAAACAACTCGCGTAGTAAGACTGTTTAAATACTTTCGTTCTTGGATCCGTGCAGGCCTGATGCCGTAATTAGAAATCATAATAGTCCCTACAGTAGGGGCCTGAAATTTCGTTATTCCGACTGAGCGTTATGCAAACCCTATGTGAGTTTCAAAGTTTAACTTGGATATAAAAGTTCTCACGACAGAGAGTCTTCAAAATCATTACGAGAAGAAGTCTTAACCCTCTATATCGATATCATTTAGTGAAGATTGGTCATGTTTATTGTCCCATACATAAAAATGAGGTTTAGTACGGAATTCGACCAGCCGAGTTATAATCATCAGTATGGAACGACTACCTGTGATGGTGTTAACGCGTCTCAATAGTAGATTTTGTCAGTGCTTGTTGAATGGCGTTCAACATGCTGAGGAAACTGCGACTCAAGGTGTTGCCACTACCTCCCAGGTCCTCAACACCAAGCCGATCTTCGCAAAACCACCGCGCTAGTTACGTTCTGTTCGGGATTGGTGGTGCTGTAACGCGAACTGCAAATCGTCACTCGCACTCACTGGTACTCACCGGAAGATATCGGGATCCATGGATGAGAATAGCTGGAAGAATATGCCGAAGAGTAGGAACGAGCATGGCGGATACAGGTTAGGTGGAAGAGCCGTGCCTCCTTGTCAGGAAGAGGTCCACAGCCCCTTGGGGATCGCCCAAAAAGACTAAGAATCCTATCATTTCATAATAGATCTTGGACCTCTTAGCTTATATACTTGTCATTCATGACACTCCTCCGACGCTTAGACACTTTGCATAATCACTTAATTCGTTATAGCACCTATCGCTCTTCCATCCATTGGCTGAGGGCTTTGCCCCAGTTCACAAGTGCCGAAACTCTCTTTTTCCTAGTATGATCACACAGAAAGAGCCCCAATACCAGAAGAACACACTTCCCGAGATTTACTCTAACGATGTCAGGTAATTATCAAGAAGGAATAAAGCGACAATAGCAATTGAATAATCGAAGTAACTAGCTTACAGTGTTGTGCGCTTCCAAGTGGCTCTCTATGGTGTCACAAGGTAAAAAGGTTACGTGGGGTCTGGCGTAGGCCCGGCCTACTATACTAGTACACAAAAATATTCCGAGTCTTCCGATATGCAAGAGCGCGACTTTAGCTGGATATAATCTTTCTGAGAGAAGATTTCCTGAGATCGTCTCAACTAACTATAGAGGGTTAGCCGTAGCTATAGAGGTCTCGCCAATATGTAAATATAATTGGAGAAAGGCTAATACTGACTATATACACGCTTAGACCACTCTCTACATTCTCTCTATTAGAGAGCCTTAGGGTGGGATCGTTAGACGAAGAGTCAGAGGGTTAAATACGTATCTATATTATATAAAGC